GGAGCGGTAAAGTAGCCAAATAATAGGGCCATGGGCAGACTTAGCACCAATTATGATAACTGGAATTAGTGCCAAAGGTGGCATGATATCGAAGAGAGGATGATGGTACCCTCAAGTAAAAAACTTCCTAGGATAGGGAAGTGGAGTTGCACCATGTGCTGTAAGCTCCTGAGTTTGGACTTCCCGGGAGGTCACCCAGCCCAGTACTATTCAAACCCAAGGACGCTTAACCCCAAATATCCCAAGACTTTAACCGATTGGAAAAGGGGGTGCACTCTTGCTCATGGGCCCTTTCCCTCTATATTTGAACCCCATGGATCGTCTCTCAAGTCGTTCCCTTTGGTTGCTTACAATCCACCACACTTCCCTGCAAGTTCACGCCCTCGTGAACGGAAGGCTGAGAGCCGCAGCTCTCACGAGAGCCCCGCTCTCTTGACACCCTACCCCTCGGGTCGAGCCCAGCCCGAGAGCCCCGCTCTCTTGACACCCTACCCCTCGGGTCGAGCCCAGCCCGAGAGCCCCGCTCTCTTGACACCCTACCCCTCGGGTCGAGCCCAGCGGGAGCAAACTGGACCAGCCAGATGTCAATCAACATGTGGTGTGATTCCCCTAGCCAACCAACAGAGTCGGACCTGAGATCCCTCTGATACCAAATGTAAGCTCCTGAGTTTGGACTTCGCGGGAGGTCACCCAACCCAGTACTATTCTAACCCAAGGACGCTTAACCCCAAATATCCCAAGACCCTTAACCGATTGGAAAAGGGGGTGCACTCTTATTCATAGGCCCTTTCCCTCTATCTTTGAACCCCATGGATCGTCTCTCAAGTCGTTCCCTTTGGTTGTTTACATGTGCAACGTAAGGTGTCGGAGACACCTAGGAAATTGACACTGAGAAGTCAAAAATTAAAAGTTCCAAAGTGCAAAGGTTAGGTCAATGGAATCTGAGACTACTCGAGAATGAGTAGTGGAATTGAGTTAGAGAGGGTGTCTCTAACGGGTTTCACAAGAACCGAACCAATAAAAGGGGGCAAACCACCCCAGGTGGTCGAGTGAGTCTCTAGGTTGGAGAGACTATGTTCCTTAGAAGATGGACAAGGCATGGTGAGCCTTCGGGGTCAAACCATAGATAAATATTGGCTAGGTGCCAAGGATGGAAATGGTAATACCTGTGGGTATTACTTTATAAAAGGGTTTACCGTTCGATGAAGACATCGAACTTCGTCTATGGGTGGTGGAGTTGTGAGACACAAATCCCTAAGCCCCAAAGTGGAGCCGAAAGGGTGCCATATGGTAGTGGCCGAAGCGAAACCCAAATAAGCATAACACGTTTGGACTAAAAGCTTCGACTTGATAGGTCGAGAGTGGGAGTGGAACTCTCAACAAAGTGCTCGAGGAATGAGCATGAAGCGAGCAATAAGCGAGGCTTTAAAAAGGGACCCAAAAAGGACTAACACATGACACGTGGAAGAGTCTGAGATGGACCCGAGATGGAGTCTGAGATGGACCCGAGATGGATTCCGAGATGGAGTCCGAGAGGAGTCCGAGATGGAGTTCGAGAGGGAGTCCGAGATGGAGTTCGAAATGGAGTTCGAGATGGACCCGAGATGGAGTCTGAGATGGACCGAGACAGAGTCCGAGACATATATATACATATATACATATATATATACACATATATACATACATACATACATATATATATATATATATATATATATATATAAAAGAGACAATATAATTGTATAGTAAAGCAATTAGTAAGATAGCCTAAAAAACCCATATTCTACACTAGCCAATGCATTGTTATGTTGTTCCTCACTATAAAACAATAATGGCTATGTGTCCATAGCTTGTTCTTGAATTTATTGTACATCCACACTTTCTAGACCCATTATTAAGCAATTACTATAGTGCTCAAGAAAAGTTTGTAAACCCATGAAAACATTTGTTTTGTCCAAAAAAGAGTAGCATATTAAACATTGAATATAATAGCATTTTGTGCTTTTAAGCAGTCCTACCATACCACAAGCAAGATCTTGCAAAAACATGTGGCACTACTTTTGAAACATTTGAGGTAATCCCTCTTTAGTAACAATATTCAAAATTTTATATATAGAGAGCTTTAGTTCAACTTCATAAAAACCCTCAATAAAAAGAGGATTGTAATGTAGTTATAATGGAGGTGAATGTGGAATGTTGGTAAACCTTAGGGATGGAAGTAGAGACTAATATAAAATGTTAGGGACCCAAATACAAATAACAATGACTTTCTTTTGAGCCATTTTTATATTGAACTTTTCAGCTTTCCAAGGAGTGTAAAAATAACAAAAATACTATAATGACTAACTTTTCTTGGCATTTATATATTAATTTTAGTCTTGGGAATGAGGTTTATTTATTATGACACTAATAATACTCAGATTCTTGAAATGTCAATATCATAAATGAGATTTCATAATCATAGTCTATTTATGAATAGCAGAGCTTCTAGAATTTTAGATACACATACTAGAATATCTATCATTCTAATGACCATTTACATATATTCTTTTCTAAACTTGTGCCAAATTTCAATAAAAATACACAACAGGGAAATATAGACCATATTATAGTAATAGAGTATGCAAGCATGCAAACCCACATGCATTCCCTTATGTGATATTACCTTTTAATCTTGAAAACATAGATAAATTTGATTCTTTGACGTGATATCACTTTTAAATCTTTTTAAAGATTTTGATTTCTATTAATATTATTCACAAATGACTCTCATAAAATGCTAGTGAGGATTCATCCCAAAAATATATTTTTGTCTTTTCATATAGGAGGATTGTACTATAGGTAGGCAAGTAGAGTTTTTTTATATGAATTAATTTATAAATTACAAATGCCATGGAAAGCTTTATAAAATAGATTTGTTAGTTTTCTTCACTACATTCATTTCTTCATTTCTTTTGTTCTAAACTATTATTTTGGAAGTAACATGAGCATTTTTACCAAAAGTTACAATGGCCTTTACATTCCCAGATGGGTAATAAAGATTAGAAATGTAATATAAAAATTGTGATAGTGAAATGAAATTAATATTCTCCCATTCATTTGCCCTACAACTCTTACTTAAATTTTTTTTATTTTACTTAAGAACCCTAAAATGAATGAATAGTATGTAAATATATATTGCCTTGATGACCAATATACACTATTCCCTTCAAAAAGAATTATTTTGATTTAACAATATGATAATTGTAAAGATAGTAAGAAAATAGATAGGTTTTCATGAATTTTGTCTTTTCTAAATAGCTCAATTTAGTAGAAACTTTTGACTTAGGTATTTATATATTTTAATATTTTAAAGCTTGTCAGAACCTTCATTTTTATAACATAAGTTTTCTTTGTAAGAGTTATAGTTAACTTCATTAACTTGTGCTAAATTAAACTCAACTCATGAACTCAACTCAAGTTTAAACCATCCCTATCTAGTTGAAAGAAAAGCCACTGTGCCAATGTCAAGCCACATGTGTTGCAGTGGATGTATATCTACATCCCAGCCAACAAAAGGAAAATAACCACAATGTCTTGTTCCTCTGTCTGTGAGGCAAGTGTGGGCCGATTCAACTATTTCCCTGAAAACGCTCGAGCCCCCACTTCCCGTGTCGTTAGCTACAAAGAAGAACCCGAGCGTCTTAGACAAATGAGCGTACAGGGACCTGCCCCACTGGTTCCAACCACCATAGAAAAGGGCATTGAACCCCTTATGAACGTGTCAAATGCTTGTTCCATCAACCTGTGCAACAAGACCGATGGCCTCCCAACAACCTATTGGAAAACCTTGCCATGTCGGCAAACCAATGTTGCCCTGCCCTGGAGATACTCGTCTAGGAGCCCAAGAATATCTACTGCAGCGGGAGGAGATTGAAAACTGAAAAAGGAAGTCATGCCAACAACCAACAATGAAAATCTCTGGCTTACCAGGAGAAGCTCCTTTTCCTATGGTTGCCACATGAGGGATCAAAACGAACAGCACGCAGGACCATTACCTGGCTTCACAAACTTCAGGTAGACCATTGTTCCCTCTGGAAAACTCGTCGCCAAATGCCTGTCTGTAACATATTCATTTTTCTTGATCCAGCCAAGCAACATCATGCATCTGCTGCATGATCGTCGTTATCACATCACCCCGCTATGAGCTTAGAAGTTGCCAAAGGGTGTCTCCTAGCATCCAAAACAGTGGGAGATACTACGCAATAGAACACCTTGTAGTAAGGATCCATGCTACGCTCAAAAATCATCGACAAACCCTTATAGAGAAACTCAGCTGCGAATATTCTGATCCAACCTAGCGCTTAAAAGAGCTTTTGAACTCTGGGTCAAAGGCATTTGACCACCTGAGTCAAAGACCTTTGACCACTTGACTAGCAGGTGATGGATGCTTGCATCCATGCGAGTCCCAATCCCTCCCCACACGAGCATGTGTGGCAAATCTCGCAGCGATTCTCCACTCACTTCATACACTGCCTCGAATCCAACCCTCTGGTAGTACCTCCGCAGCTGCGTAGCAAGAGAAAGAAGAATGTATTACTATCGATCATCAACCAGAGAGAGAAGAGCGCTCAATCTCACCTTGGAGTGGTACAAATCACTGTCGTTGATGGCCAGGAGCTCGGCCCTGGAGCAGCCACAATCGTAGCCATGGCGAATCGCCGCTGCTCCAATCACCAATGCCACACCGAAGAGAGGCTTGTCTTGTTTGATCTTGGAGGCTCTTGTCATCCGGATGGAATCCAGATGGAGAACCATGCCGTCTATCCATGGCCTGATCACCCCTCTCGCCTCGCCCAGCAGCGCTTGATCTTTGCTGTTGGATGCTATCACCGTGAAGAATGGGCCGAGCTTCTTGAGCTCCAGGCTCACGCCCCTCCTCGCGGCCACATCCAGGATACCAGCCATCGCTGGAAGAATCGCCGCTCCACCTCCATTCATCACTTCTCCTGCGCAAGAACCCTAAAATATTTTCATCCCAGCTATGGCGCTCTTCCTCCACTGCATTGCGCTTCCTCGCTTTCAAAATCTCCAGCTCCAAGGCGCCGCGCGCTGGCGTGGCGCTTGGATCGCCAGATGCTCCTTGTCGTCCGCCGCGGCAGATCCAGGCGATGAATTGTGGGAGCGCAAGAAGCGATCGAGGAGTATCGCGGGTGTGGATCAGGCTGTGCTCATGGAGCCATGGCTTCTAGCAGATCCGAGCAGCCGATTCGCGGAGTACAATGGAGTCCAGGTGCACTACAAGATCATCGCCAGGGATGGATCCCCAGGAAACATCAGGTATTTTCTTCTCGCTACTTGATTTGATGACAACGGGAATAACTATCGATCTAGCTCTCGCGTGGACGCAGCGCTGGCGAGGCTGGAGAGTTCCCTGCGATACTCCTCCATGGATTTGGTGCCTCGATTTTTTCGTGGGAGCGTCTGATGCAGCCTTTGGCCAAGGTGTTAGCATCAACCGTGGTGGCGTTTGATCGGCCAGGCTTTGGACTAACTTCCCGGCCTAGGATTCAACCAAGTGCCGCGAAAGAGAACCCGTATAGTCTGGATTTCTCGGCATCTATCGCCGCGGCTTTCATTGATTTTCTAGGGGCAGACAAAGTGATATTGGTCGGGTACGTTCTTCTCTCTTTTTTCTTTTCTTTTCTTGCGAGAAGAAAAGTGCTGATTCCATCTATGCAGGCACTCTGCTGGATGCATTGTCGCTGCCGATACGTACTTTAAAGCTCCAGAGCGAATTGCCGGGATTGTGATGCTAGCTCCTGCCATAGCTGCGCCTTTCATGGGGAAACTGCGACGACGACAAGGACGAGAAACTCGGAAAGAAGAGCATCTGGAACGGAATCCCGGCTCGCTGTCTCGTGCTCGCTTGCTTGTCAAGCTCGTCACCAGTCTCTTTCTGGGACTGCGTGCTGTTGCTCTCGAGCTTTACTCCAAGCTAAAGCGCTTCACTCAAAGTTTGAAAGAACTGGTGGCCAACATCTTCGCGGGAGTTTTAGCCGCGGCACTCAGATCAAAGGCTGCTATCTGGATGGTTTACCATTTCAAACTACGATTACATTCATCCTTCTAACTCATGTGCTTTCGTTTCAAAACAGATACAGCAGATAATGGATAGATACTCGAGGGAGGCAGTGCGTTTTGCTTGGTACAATCCACAGATGGTTAATAACTCTATCATTCAAGGCTACACCAAGGTGAGTCACCTTATGTTTCAGGAAACACTTTAATCATAGGATTGTTTCTATAGCCCTTGGGATGTAGGAACTGGGACCAAGCGTTGCTAGAGTACGTTATAGCCATGTTGTCAACCAGAGACAAAAAGGGAAGGAAACTAGCCGAGAAGATTGAAGAAATCTCATGTCCAGGTACGTATATTTCTTGTTTAAAATGATCCATGCCGTAATTGGTTTTCTCGCCCGTCAGTTCTGATAGTAACGGGAGACACAGATCGTTTGGTCCCTGCTTGGAACGCAGAAAAGCTCGCCAAAGTGTTTCCCAAGTCTACGTTTCACAAGATCAAAGAGTGCGGACACTTGCCTCACGAAGAGACACCCGAAGAAGTTTTACGTGTCGTAGGAGAGTTCATTTCATCGAGCATTGCAAAAGTAAAATGTGGTGAATAAGGTCTTTCCTTTGCGTGTTTGTTTCGCCTTTGAGGTACGAGATGGACGAAGCTGTTGTCCCTCTCCCACTCGCTCTCACACACAAGGTATACTTTTTCTTGCAAGACAGTGATACTTGAAGGATTGTGTTCCAGGTTCTGCGGAGAGACGCTTGTCTACAAGTGTGAAATGGTGATTCTAGTTGAGTTCCACTGTTTGATGTTGATGCTAGTGATGAGATACAGCTTACCCAGATCACAGTATTGAGCAAGAACTGGTAACTCACACAGACTTCATTTTACATTCTTTGTAAAGTTGGGATTTACAAGCAACTCAATTTCGACATCAATATGGTTCCTTTCATACTCTCTAATGACGAGATCCAGAAGAATGCTGTTGAAGTTCATATAAATCCCACTCGCTCTGGTTGAACATTTGAGCTGAATGGAAACTTCAGCCGGAAATTGTCTCTGTTACCTAGAGTGCACACCTTGGGACCGAAATCATCCTGCGTCTTTCCAAAAACAGTAGTCATGGATAAACCCCGGCTTCCAGTGCGGAGACCAGATTTCCCAAGAGCTATAGAACACGCTCTCATGCCCAATCCCTGTGGCAAAGTACCTCGTGATTGCATGTCAATCGTTCCAATTCAGCTTGACTTCCACTTTATCAACCGACTAAGCAAGAGCCCTAAAATATTTATAGGGGTATCGTGAATGTGGAGCCATCGATCCCAAGATCATAGCCACACAAGGTATTTTCTTGCCAATGTTCTTAGCTACTTGATTGGAATTATCTAGCTCTCTCGTAATCGCAGCGAGGTTGGAAAGTTCCCTGCGATGCTCCTCCATGGATTTGGTGCCTCTGTTTTCCTTGCGAGCCCCTCCCTGATCCAGCCGGTGGCTTTGCACTAGCTTCCCAGTGTTTAAGTTGCACAGGATCAGGAAAAAATACCCGAAGATGTGTTACGTGTCAGAGGAGAGTTTCTTTCATCGTGCATTGCGAAAGAAAAAATCCGGTGAATAAGGTCTTTCCTTTGCGTGTTTGTTTCGCGATATGGATGATGCCGTCGTACTCCCTCTCTCTCTCTCACTCACAAGGCATGCTTTTTAGCTCAGTAGAGGTGCGGTGAAAGACAGTGATACTTGACAACTTTGAAGGGCTGTGTTCCAGGTCCTGCGGATAGAGGCTTTTCCAGAAGTGCGAGGTGGTGATTCGATCCCTGATAGTGCTTGAATTTTTCAAAGAAGCAGTTGATTCCCTTGCTCTCAGTGTTGACATTGTTTTGAGTTGATGCTGGTGACGAGATAGAGCTGACTTTTCCAGATCACGTTGTCACAGTATTTACCAAGGAGAGGATATGAATGTCGAGGGGCATCTCACGCAGATTTCACTGTGTGCATTGCACTCTTTTGCAAGGTACGAGATTCTGTATCTAGTCTTCTAAGCGTAACAATACTCTTTTTTGCGTGCTCGAACAGGTACAGGGGCCACTCAGATCACTGTGTTACAAAAATGGAAAACTGAGATCACTACGTGATGTGTACGTATTCTAGTATAGCGTCATTCCCTTTTGTCTTCTCTAACTTTCTTCATGTGGAGCCAACGTCAAAACCATATGTAGTGGATCATCAAAAACCCACTAGCGGTCGAGAAAAGGAGGAAGAGGAGGAGGAGGAGGAAAGAGGATGGTCAATCCCTTCCGCTTTTCTTTGTCACGAACTCGATTTCTCTCGACCACTGCGAAGCATTATCACAAGATATGCTTGAGAGGGCGAGGGCGCTGTGTTGGTTTGTGGAGGCTGATGTTAACAAGTCGTGGGCCTGGCTCGCTATACTTCTTCTGGCTTTGCAAAGGTGGGGCACAGAGGAATTCCGAGAAAACGTATATATTAACGCTGTACGCTTGTAGGTGGCTCGAGGGACAACGCTTTCCAAGCACGGCACAGTCGGTTTGGCTTGCTTTCGGAGGTGGCGCTTTGTCGTGTTGGGATCAAACTATAGCAACCGCCACCCGCCCTTGGCCCGATGGAACAACCTTTTGTTTCTCTCACAAGAATCTCCACCCAACGAGATCAACGAGATCACGCAGCAGCTCATTTCCATCTCGGGGCCTCAATCAATCAGTCAGCTCGCGAGTGCTCGCTCGACGAGAGGAGCGAGAGACAAGTGTACACTAAGCGTGCTTTGCTCGCTCATCGCTCCTTTCAGAGGTACGGCTGCCTTTCCGTATGACAAAGCTTTTGATTCCGCCCATCTTGTTTATGCCTCTAGTTGGTGGATATGCTACCACACAAAAGCTCTCCCTCTCGAGAGCCCGGCTCGGCTCAGCTCAGCGCAAAGTATGAGAGTTAGTGGCGGAGTGAGTTAGTCCACTTGAAAGGGATGGCTACTTCTTCTTTGGGAATCAACTAACCCAAGCTTTTGATTTTCGCTTTGGGTGACGTTGCAGGTCTGAAATATTCTTTGATTTTATATTGCTGCGCTGGGCCAAGTTGGAATCGTATCCGTCCGGTCAGTTTTTTTCACCAAGAACGCACACAGATACAATGCTTTAAACTGGTGAGCAGGCAAAGAAACGTGAAGCACAACACAGGCAGCAGTGGCAACTTTTGTTTGAGGATCCAGTCAAGGAAGAGGAAATGCTCGCTCCTCTTTGGTTTTGTTCTTGGATCCCAGGAGCAATCATGGAGCACATAGATCGTCAAAGAAAAGATTATACACTGGTGGTGGGGGGAGGGGACCCCGGATTAACTAAAGTTTAAACAAGTCGCAAACCAAATCAGCTGGGAATCTTCTTAGGCAGATCTTATTCGCTACAAGAAATTCAACATCGCACCAGTCACTTAGAGGGTAGTGAAAGCCAAGCTTTTCTTCCTCGTAGCTAAAAAATCTTGGTAAAGCTTAATTTCATTGCATCTAATTAACCCAACTTTGTTGATGATAAGGTGGTATATACGTCTAGAAAAAAATTAAAATAAAGTCCTCTTTCACGAATCCAACCGGCCTAGCTACGAGCACGACCAAACCAAAGTTACACCTATCCAGAAAAAATTCCCCCCAAATTCTCCATGTAATGTGCACAACAAGAGCAAGACTACAACCTTTGCGGGGCCACTAAACCACAGATATATCTTTGATTAAATTCATAGCCATGGGTAAAACCATGAGATATTAAATCGCTCCGCCAATTATTTGAGTCCATAATGCGCACGCGTGACTGGCCCACGTCAGCACGCCCCCCATGTCATACTGTAAAATCTAGGCACATCTCCCGCCGTTGGATCCGGACGCATCTGGGCCGTTGGTTTTTCGGAGATGCCGCGACCGTCTCTGGAGCTCTTTTTAAACACCTTTGCTTCATCAAACCTTTTCTCTTCCTCTCGCCCAGACCGATTTCCATGGCTTGTCGCCCCGAATTTCCCATTCCATGCCGAGGGCTGTGTGAATGAATTGGAGTGCGAGCTACTGATAAGTGTGATTGCTTCGTTCCCGGGCCGCTTTCGCTGTAAACAAATCGCAAGGAATTTCTTGCACCGCAAGACTTGCATTTCGTGCTCTTGATTCGCACGGCGATGCTCCATTGCGCAATGCATCTGGGCTGTGACAATTGGTGAGTAGTGACGGCATTGTATCTCGGCCCAGCCCTCTTGCGGGCTCGAGCAATTCTTACCAGCAGAGCACTTGGAACCTGGAATTCGACACTACAGAGCCTGGAGAGGAAGAGAATGGTAAATTCTTCTTCTTTGCATGATTGATCGGTCCAATTGCAGTTGGTTTGTGCTTGGAGTGTGACCATGCATCCTGATTGCGATGAATTCTATGAATTTCAACTCTGTGGAGCCAATGCCTGGAGGGAATTGATCGAATTTCTTGCCCAATTTCCAGGTGGCCCAGCACAAGAGCTATCCAATTTGCCCCCCTTGGCTCAAGCCCCTCATCTCCGCCAAGTTCTTCGAGCCCTGCAACAATCACAGCTCCTCCAGCTCGTCCCCGGCCGCTGGCGAGACCGCCGCGTCGACCAGCGCCGCTCGAATCGAATGCAACCTCTACTGCCTGGATTGCATGGACGAGCCACTCTGTTTTGGCTGTACATTCTGCCACAAGAATCACCACGTCGTGCAGGTACGCAAAAGCGATGAAAAGAAACTTCTTTGGTTGTTCGGGTGTCCGAGACGAAAGTGATCGGCTACCCGAGATGGGCAATTGCCCGATATGGATATGGTGGACATTGATCGAGAGAGTTCAAGGGAAGCCTTGTATATAATGCCTGACAGTGGGTTTCTTTCTATGTACAGATTCGTCGATCGTCCTACCACGACGTGATTCGCGTGTCAGAGATCCAAAAGGTGCTCGACTTGAGCGGCATTCAATCCTACATCATCAACAGCGCCCGGGTGGTGTTCCTCAACGGCAGGCCCCAGACCAAGCTCGCCAAGGGCGTCACCAAGACTTGCGAGATTTGCGAGAGGAGCCTCAACGAGAGCTTCCGCTACTGCTCGCTGGGATGCAAGGTAGGCAGCCCAACACCAAATTCTTTCCAAAACTCTTCTTCTTCTTCGATCTCACTGTGCAGCTCCAAGGCATCAGCAAGCACAACGATCTCACTTTCACGGTCCAGCCAAAGCCCCAAGTCGGCAATGGAAACCACCGGGTCTACCCGGAAGACGGCGTGTCTCACAAGAGATCTAGATCCAGGAAGAAGCTCAAGCTGGACACGCAGCAAATCCAATCCCAGCAGCACCAGGAACTACTAGCCACGCCCACGCCCGGCGATCAGGAGAAGATCGCTACGCCAAACAATGCGCCCAGCGCTCCAGCTGATCTGCCAGTAGAGGAGGCGGCCGATCGAGGAGAGAAAACGGAAAACGTTATGGAGGAAAAGGAGTTCGAGGAAGAAGAGCATGGAGATGGAGAAATGTCCCAACAGCGGTTGGGCCTGGTGGGGATCTGCCCGTCCACACCGCCTCAGGTGGTGACGTGGACGGAGGGGATTTTCCCTGGCAGGCAACGAGCGAGGAAAGGGACTCCACACAGGTCACACTTGGGCAGTGGTTTGACTTTGGGTGAAGCTAGAGGGTAAAAACGCAGTTACCAAGTCCTAGGCTGGTAACAAAGAAAAGGTAAGAAGAAAGCTAAGGTTTCCAGGAAGAAGGGAAGGATCTCTCCATGCTTTAAAAGAGACAACTACAAGCAGCCAACACCAAGCAAAAAAAGTGAGGTAAAGTCGTAAAAATCACACAGAAGTGTGAGAATAAAATTGGGGCGTGGGAAGATCAAAGCTCCACAAGCAGATATTGGTTAGATTTCTTAGAAAACTCTTTAGACGATCAGCTTGTGCTGCTGCTATAAAAAAATGGTGGCCATTGCATTGCTCTAAAGACTAGTAAATATTAATAAAATCAATTATATTATAATTGAGTTGTATTATTCTATTGTTCACGAAGGACAGAATTTTAATCCGAGGCGCCCTGCGCATCCGACCAAGTAATGTCCATCCAGCCAAACTTATCGCTATTTTTCGAGACCCCCAGCGCGCGCCAAACTGAGGGCGATGCATCCACCAGATTGGGCTGGCATGGCGGATAGAATCCATGCTCGGCGTCGCAGCCACGAAGAGAGTCACACTCGTCCACCACTCTCGCCCGGACGCTCTTGCCGCTGGGCGCATGGATGATCACAAATCGCCCACAACGCTTCCCTTTGGCAAACCATCCGGTGGAGAGCGCCACCACCAAGTCGTTGTTGGAGTGGAACTTGGAATCACACTCGGAGGCGCCGCCGCCGTCCCCTCCCGGCTGGAAATCGTTCACGGTGAGAATCGCCTTCGTGAACTTTGTCACCGGAGGCGAGCACTTGAACTGCGGGTAGGATTTCCCGACCTGGCAGCAATCCTTGCATCCCTTGGAGCTCTTTGGAGCATGGAGGAATCCCGAGGCTCGGCACTGCCCTTGGCCAGGAGCTGGCTCGAGTGGCGGCGGCGGGGCTTCGATCTCCGGGGGAGAAGAAGGAGGATCTGATGGATTCTTGGGCTGCTTCTTCTTCTTGTTCTTGTTCTTGTTGCAGATGGTGGTCTCCTTGTCTGGATCATCCTTGCATTCACCTTGTAAGCACACGAGCCCCTTCTTGCAGCTGGCCGTGGATTTGCATGTCTTCCCACATCCTCTTCGACCGTGGCCGTGCTTGTGATTGGATTCGGCCAAATGCAAGAGCTGCAAGAGGAAGACTGAGAATAGCACGACGAGAAGGAGCTGCCTCCTCCGTGCCATCGACATGATTCAGAGATGCCGCGGAGGTGGCGATATATACTGGCCTCTTGCTTGTAGTTTTGTGGCTTTGTTTTGCAGTTTTACCCAAGAACTTTGGCGATTCCGGTCGACTTTGGCCTGTTCTTCGCAGCGTCGCGATTCGCGATCATACCAATTGGCAATAGAATTCATAGCTTTGCTGGCGCACAAATGGGCGCCGTCGGATTGGATCTAGGGCTGGCTTATGGTGGATGTCCACCGCGATCTCGGTGGAGCAGCAGGATGTGTATGCGTCGCGGCTCAAGCGATGCGGCGAGGCCAGAGATCTCGCCGAGGGCCGCCGGATCCACGCTCACATTGTCGACACCGGCCACTTCTCGGACCGCTACGTCTCCAATCTGGTGGTGGGCATGTACGGCAAATGCGGCAGCGTGGAGGAGGCTCGCCGGGCCTTTGATTCCATCGCGGCGCCGAATCTCTTCTCTTGGAACATCCTCATTGCCGCATATGCCCACAACGGGCATTTGGGCGAAGCGCGGCGGCTCTTTGATTCCATGCCCGAGAAGAACGCCGTGTCCTGGAATGCAATGATCACTGCGTACGCGCGGAATGGCCAAGCTAGCGACGCCAAAGTGGTCTTCGACGCTATGCCAAGACCCACTGCTGTCTCTTGGAATGCCATGATCGCAGCATATGCCAAGAACGGGCATCTGGAGGATGCTCGGACATTGTTTGAGGCGATGCCATGCCCGAACCTTGTGACTTGGAACACAATGCTCGCCGCTTACTGTGAAGCCGGGGATATGGATCAAGCTCACGTAATGTTCAAGAGCATGCCCACGCCAGACGTAGTTTCGTGGACTACCATTCTCTCCGCATATGCCTCGAGGGGTGATCTTGGTGAGACAAAGGCCGTGTTTGCAAGTATGCCGCGGAAGAACGTTGTTTCGTGGACAGCGATGCTGAAAGCATACATACAAGCTGGTGAGATTGATAATGCGAGACTACATTTCGAGATAATGCCCGATAGAAACATCGTGTCGTGGAATGCAATGGTTGCAGCATATGCCCAACATCGAAACTTGAGAGAAGCGAGAGCACTGTTTGATAGCATGGCGAAAAAGGATTCCGCGACCTGGACGACGATGGTGGTCGCGTACGCGAGCGCAGGCCAGCTGAAAGAGGCAATGGATCTCTTCAACCAGATGCAACAGCGAGATGTAGTATCTTGGACTGCAATGGTCACGGCCTATGCCCAAGACGGACAGCTGAGCAAGGCGAGGGAATTTTTCGATAGTATGCCTCACAGGAACGTCGTGTCGTGGAACGCGATGATCGCCGGCTACGCTCAAAACGGGAACCTGACAGAAGCAAGAGTTCTGTTCGATCGAATGCCGGTAAAGAGTACCGCTTCGTGGAACGCTGTGGTAACCGCGTATGCCCAGGCCGGAGACATGGAGGAAGCCCGAGCTCTGTTCGAGAGAATGCCTTCCAGGAACACTGTGTCGTGGAACACGGTCATCACTGGCTACTCGCAGCAAGAACAGCAAGAGAAAGAGGCGGTGAGGCTGTTCCTCAGGATGGATCTGGAAGGCGCTCGTCCCGACGAGATAACTTTCGCGTGCGTGATCGACGCGTGCGCGAGCTCCTCGTCGCTGCGAGAGGGCCGGCATTTGCACGAGGAGGTGTCGAGCAGCAGCGATGTGGCGAGAGACCCCGTGGTGTGGAACTCGCTCATCAACATGTATGGGTCTTGCGGGAGCCTGGGAGAAGCTCGGGTCCTCTTCGACGCCATGGCTAACAAGAACGTCGTGTCGTGGAACGCAATGCTTGCGGCGTACGCGGGCGCCGGGAACGAGCTCCAGGCGCTGGAGCTGTTCGCGAAGATGGATCACGAAGGCTTCCATCCCGACGCAGTGACTTTCATCGTCGTTCTCGCAGCTTGCAGCCACGGTGGGATCTTCCAAACAGGACTGCTGCTCTTCGTCTCCATCGCGGGGGACTACTTCGCGACTCCAACTGCGGATCACTTCCTGTGCGTGATCGATCTGCTGGGACGAGCCGGGCTGGTGGACGAGGCGGAGGAGGTGGTGAAAACGATGCCATTCGAGCCATGCGTGGTTGCGTGGGTGTCGCTCCTCAGCGCTTGCAAAGTCCATAACGATGCGGAGCGCGCGAGAAAGGTGGCGAGCATTGCCGTGGAGAGCGAGCACGCTGGTCTTCTTGTTCTTCTGGCCAACATGTAAATAGACTGAATGAGAGAGAAGAGCCTCGAGCTTGTGAAACAAAAGCAAAAAAAAAATCATTCTCGTCCTTGATTTTTTCTAATCGCAAGAGCCAGTCAATCAATCATGTAAATCTGCGCATGTCTACATCCACACGACACGACATTATTGATGCCTCCATTCCAGACACACTGATTGACAACGCTGGAGAGAGAGCGAGCAAAAGCCACTGTAGTGCGTGATCCGTGAGTGATAGATACCGAAACTTTCATAGCTCGATCAAATAATAGAGATAGATTCGATCTTGATGTAGTACGATACGACTGTAGAAAGAAAAGTTCATCATCCACCAAAGTCTACTGATTGATTGATCCCAAGTCCCAAAAACAGGAGCTATACATATACAAATCCACTCTTTTTAAGTTTTTCTCTTTTCTTGTGCCTCTCTAGCTCGCAGAGATCGATCGAGAGAGACAATCCTTGCGGTGAGCTGAGCCGAGCTTCACCACCTAAATGATTCCACCACCACCACCTAGAAAGAAAGAGAGCAGTACTAGAGTTCTACCTGTTTTCGTCGATATCAAACGAGCGAAGGAAATCACTCCAAACCTGTGGGACTGTGCGCCAGAGCGACGCCCAATCCTCCTACTTGTGCTGCGCAGTACCATAGGCCGCAGCGCCGGCTCGTTCCTTGCTCTTCTCGGCGGCGGCGGCGGCGGCGGCCTCCGCTTCCTTGCGCTTGGCGGCATTGAAGATGTCCTTGGTCTTCATCTCCTTCTCCAGCGATGGGGTGTGCACGAAGCCCTCTCTCGACGATGGCTCCTTGTCCGAGGAGCTTGGAGTGCTGCCCGCCGCTTGCTGGGCGCTAGACGCGGCGCACGGCTTGAAGAACCTCATCTAAGAAAAAGAAGAAGATCGGGTTTAGAGAGGCAAGAAAGGAAGAACAAGAGAGATCTAGGAGAATTGACCAGGCAAACACGCTTTGGTGGGAGGCCATGCAATGCAAGGGGGTCGTACCCATCCAAGGTCACTCAACCACAATGCGCCATAGCGAAATCTGGAGCACATCTGCATATAGAGGGGGCAAAACGGACAGTCTGATTTCTCCGGGCAAACAAATCCAGCCCCGGCATGCAGCGATTCCAGGCAAAATCCCCCCAATTTGCTAGCAGAGAAGCACTAGATCGAGGGAGAGAGGAAGCCCGACAGGAGGGATTGGATTACTCACAAATGTTGCCGATGCCGCTACAGTGGCCGGCACAGCGGCGCTGTTGCCCCGATTGATCGCCCGACGCATCATCTCTGGAAATCCAAAACAATGCCGCCCAAGAACCCTAATTTTCTGATCCACTGCGCTCTTCTTTTATAAGGGCCAAGGATAAAAAATTTAAGAATGCTCTTTGCTTGACACGTGGATTGGCGGGAAAGTCTAAAAATGCGATAAAAATTGCCTCCGCAGAGGATCGAACTCTGGACCTCCAGTTTACAAGACTGGCGCTCTACCACTGAGCTACAAAGGCAAGGCATAGGGATGATTTCATCTTAATGTTTATATTCATATCAAACCTTTGGATATCATAAACCCCATACCCTAAACCTTCTTAAGCCCTAACCATGGCAACGCCGCCATGGAAAGTTCGGCTACACCGTGATCTCAAGGATCTGGCCAAGGAGCCATTGAAGGGCATTGACGTTGTTGTGGATGAGCAAGACATGCAGCGGATGTGCTTGGTTTTGTCACCTCTTTGCGGCCCTTATCAGGGCTTGAAGCTCCACCTGGATGTCAAGATACCGGCAAAGTATCCAACGGATCCCCCAAAGGTAACCATCCAGACACCGGTGCCTCACCCAAACGTCATTGGGTCTTGGATCTGCTGCGATATTCTTAATCACCAGTTTTTCGGGGGTTATACTCCAGGCTACTTGCTTGGCTATGTCTTTCTTCAGCTCTTGAGCCTCTTCTCAAGCGACAATATTGAGCAGTCAGATGGTGGCGGCAACGTGAATCTACAGTCTTACTCGAAGATGTATTTAGGTCCCCGAGGCTTGAAACCGCTTGTAGAACGTTACCGGTGTCCAAAGTGTGGATTCAATGTGAGTTTCTCGGCAGTGGATACGGCAGTTATCAAGTGCAAGGAGATAGAAAAGAAGGAGGACACAAATTTGTTTGGGGTTTTGGGGTTAGATGTTGATGGTGACGAGGATGTTTTGCCGTTGGAGGCTTTGGCGCGGCCAAAACGAAAGCAGCATGGAAAGCCAGCGTTAAAAAATGTCGTAGATATGATGTGTGAGAGGTTGAACGTTGATTGCCGCATGGAGATCATTGACAAGCTCGATGACCGGGAGATTATGTCCGTAAAAGCGTTTGACAAGAGTGTGGAGATATACACTCGACTTCTTGAAAGGCGGCTCAAGTGCTTCTTCTTGCGGAAAACTTTCAGAGAGAAAGACGTCGTCTTGGGCATTGGAGTCAACCTCGACAGCTTGAACAAGTTAAAGCCGACAGTTGTGTCGCTGGACGTGCTCTCTCATGAGTCTTTCAGCGTTTATTCTCACAACAAGAGCCTTCTCGGAGTGAGCTTCCAGTATTTCCTTCCGCTCGCCTTAGATGATGAGCACTTCAAGCGTGCTAAGGGTTTAATGCAGAGCTCGCTTATGAACCTGGTGCATGTCAAAACATGGAGCCCTCAAGTCGTGCTCGAAACTCTTCCAGTGATGATGAACTTGATGGTGCTCAGGCTTGTGCAGTCTTGTGATCGGCACAAGGCATCTTTCTTGAAGAGTAGTGGATCCAGCCACCAGCTTATGAAGGCATCAGAGTTTGCCCTGGAAGGATATTGCCTTCTCTATCACTTGTTTTCTAAGCTGGTGAGGGACGACCAAGAGTTGGCAAACCTTATACAACAGAAAGTTCAAGATTTCATCGACAACATAGAACTCCGAGGAAAGAATGCAGTCCCAGACCTTGGGGAGTTCCTCACTTACTTGCTAGTTACTAAGGATGTTGAATGGCAACCCAAAGACAAAGAAAAGCCACAGGTCTCCAAGATGTTTCTGGGCGAATCCCTTACCAGAAGGGTGCTATGGTGCCTGAAAGACTTCCCACATCTGGCGTACATTGAGCCGGAGAACTATCCCTCTGAGCTGCGAATCAGGCAAACATTCCAAGCTTGCAAGACATCCATGAAACTGATCCTGTTCCAGGTCAACTTTTTCAACATGACAAGGTCAACGGAGGAGTTTGACCAGAGATATGGGTTTCCATCCGAAGCCATGACCAAGAAGCTGATGCGATTGATGAAAGATGTGTACAAGGCAAGGGATTGGGACGTTTACTTCAGGATTTTTGGGCTGGAATTTGACAGCGGCTGGAAGTGGCAATTGGTGAGATTGCTCAAGAAATCTATTGAATCCAGTGAGAAACGAGGGTACCACGTCCTAAGGTATACCCAAAGTGAGCTTTATGAGTTAAGAAGAGCTGTGGAACCGACTTGTCCTCCTCCACAAGGATGGGTCAACAACTGTGGCAAATATCCAGTTCCACAAAAGAGTTTCTTTCCAGGAGATGAAACTCTCAGGCCACCAAAAAAAGGTAAATCCAAGAATATCCATCCATCTCAATAAAAGTCAAATCACGTCAATTTTAGTCAATGGTAAAGATTCCATCAGCCGTCAGCTGTAGAATGTTTGCTGACACCTCAAGACTTTTAGTCTATCCTAATTACATCTTCTATATATATCCTTGGGTCAAGGGAATATATACACATAAGTAGGGAGTATGCTTGGTTGTAGGGGTCAATGCCGGCCCAGCGTTGGGTCTCATCTATTGAGCAGTCTCGCGCACTCTGCTTTAAGAGATGTTGTATGGGAAAGGAGCATGAAAAGTCAGAAAAATGTAGATTGAACGTTGATTGGCGCCTGGAGATCATTGGCAAGGGAGATTATGTCCGTGAAAGCGTTTGACAAGAGTGTGGACATCAGTGGAGATACTCGACGCTCAAGTGCTTCTTCTTGAGGAAAATTTTCAGAGAGAAAGACGTTAACGTTTTGGGCATTGGAGTCTCGAGAGCTCGAGCAAAGTTAAAGCCGATATGTGTCGCCGGACTTGCGCGTTTATTCTCACAATAAGAGACTTCTCAGAGTGAGGTATACTATTCCGCTCGCCTTTGATGAGCATTCCAGATATCATGAGATTCCAGGTCCACTTTTTCACGAGGAGTTGACCAAAGATATGTCCATGTACAAGGCAAGGGATTGGGAGAGTGAGCTCTATGAGCTGAGAAACTGGCTTGTCCTCCTCCAAAAGGATGTGTTGACAGCAGTGGCAAAGCTTTGGGCTGTTAATTTGCAAGGCTAGAGAGCAAGACATGATTAACAATTTTCAAAATTGATAACGGTCATCCAGCCATGTTTGTACGGAGAGGCTGCACTTTTGAATTTGCAATCATCTTAATGAGCTACATCTTGAATATATTTCATTCTTCGGCTGCTGTTGCTACTGTTTAGCTATTGAGCACCAAAATAGCAACTTCAGGAAATATCCTGTAGGGATCTGCTATAAACCCTAGCCAGGGGAGGAGATGTGGCGGTCAGGTAAGAAGCTTTACGGTTGAGAGGCTATCCAAAATGATCGCATTTTCTAGAACAGCTGCGGCTCGTCAGCTTTTCCAGAGGAGCTTGTGCAGTGGCCATGGATCATTAACAACTACTCAACCTGCACCGCGACTTGTCTTGCACTATGACAAGATCAACACATCCCTCATTCTTTTTGACAGTTCCTATTACAGCATCGGCAGCCATGGTTGGTTGATGAAAGAATTTGGGGCCCTGCTTGCGTTGGCTCACCGAGGTACCAAATGCACCATTCACCAGCGCAAGCATTGCAATAGCTCCTACTGGAGCTGCCCGTATAGCCGCCCTGACTTAGACTACGACCCGGACATGCCACCGTCCGTGACTGAGCTCATGCCTTGCCAGATTGAGAGCATCGAGGCCACCGGCTGCCTTTCTACTTTCGAGCTTGGTATCAGATACAAGACGGACTCGGTGGTGATCAGCGATGAAGATCGAGAGATAGATCGTGCAAAATTATCCAAGGAATATAAGGAGTTTATGCACGCGTGGCGTAACAAGGAGATAAATTGCGCAAGATTATCTGAGGAATGTTTGGACATCTGGCATAACAGGGTCCCTACAAATTGTGTGCTACTCTCGGTTCCTTCAAAGGCACTCAAGTACAAGGCATTGCAATGGAACCTTGAGCGCGATTTTTGCAACAACTTCCCGCTGGAGATTTTGCCACACGAGTTTGTGACGAATGCGGCCAGCTCCAATACGAGGCTGAAGGAAAAAGATGCCATACTTGAGTTGGGTGAGGCGGTGCTGCAGGGGATCAGGAGATGTGTTGTAGTGGATCTCCGGGGCATTGGGATCATGAAAAAGGTGGGGTTGTTTCTACCTGGTGCTACTGTGGATAAGCTGCGAGGAATTCCCCAGCCAGGCCCGGGGCTTGCTCCTTAGTAATCACAGCGATCACCGTCTCTAACGTCTCTAACAAAGATGACTGGGAGGCGCTTGGGGTTGGTGACATCAACATAAACACAGTGGCATGCTTCATAAACGACTTGGTCTGGACCATGGAAATAGTGCTACTGTTCGCGAACGACTTCGAAAAATCAGCCGTAAGTATTGCTGCCTCTCTTCGTAGGCTTCCTGAACCATCATCATATAGGTATTTGGATGAATGCGTTTCTTCTGAGGTGCCGCGTGATGCATTCTAAATCCCCTGCAAGAGTTTGTATTGAGGTCCACTTTAAACATCATCTTAGAATGTACACCAAAATATGGAGCAAAACACGAGAACTTTCACACCGAGGAGGCTGGAAACTAAGATGGGGATCAAGGGACAAATCTCTGGCACAAGATCATGAGCTTTACGAAAGTCAAGACGAAGAACTCCAGAGAGAATGTGGTGCCATCGCCAATCCCCGGCTGCTGCTTCTCATCCAAGGTGTTTACTAGGCTTTGCTTTGACATGACAAAAAAATTCTCAGATGGTACGAGAGTTTGAACAAGTAAGGGAACGGTGCCTGTCCCTATTGGCAATATCTTGCAGCAGCAAGAATTCTTGTTCTTTTTGCTGCATTCTCCCACAGCTTTGGGATGCTTAGCAGGGAACGACAAGACAGAGCTGGTGGACTTTGATTCGGAAAATCAGATTGAGGACGAGCCTTTGGTTCCGAGTGGACACACTTTCAACCTTCTCGAGACAAGTCTTCGGCTTGCTGGTCACGAGGACTTGGTCCACAGCAGCCTGTGTTAAAACACAAGACAAACATAAAACAGAAAGGTATTGTAGAAAACAATGTTTGGTCAGCAAAGACAATTTCAGTGATTAACTTGGGAATCAACAACTCTCAAATTGCGCTAAGGCTTCTTTACCTTTGGCTTGGGCAATTTAAAGTAATTGAACAAGTTGTGTCTCACTATGTCACCTCGTTTCCCCACTAAATGATCTTCCATTTTAAAATATGCTGTGCACAATTGCATAAGAGCATTAAGAATCTTTTCCTGCAAAAAATTATAAAATGAGCTCATTAAAACACTCTTCTACCCACTTACCCCAAGAAACAAATATGCCAGTTGGTGTAGAATTAACACTCTACCATCTTCTGAAATTTCAACCGAAGACTTTTTGCGTCCTCTCAAGTGCATGTAGATGGCAATAGGACTCCCCAACGTCTCACCATCCGTGACAACTCGCCTCTTCTTCCGAGATGGCTCCTCCTGATCACTTTCATTCTCATCACTGTCATCGTCTATATCTCTATATGTTGGATCCTTGAGTTTGTCGTCACTATCTTCATCTTCATCCTCGACGTCATCACCATCTTCACCACGCGGACTCTGCCGTTTGATTTGCGTGCAGCTACGCACAGGGCGCTGGGGAGCTTCGTCCGGATCCACGTCAGCCTCAGGGAGGACCTGTGGAACTTGGCTGCGGCTGGCCTGGCTGGAGCTGGCTGCTCCTAGAACCGGAGCTTCGTCATCCCACCTGCAATGAACACAAAAAGAGTCGTGATTAAATGCAAGTGAGAAAGAGAGCATACTCCAATGCAGCCTTGGCAAGCTTCTGAGTGTTCACAGAGTAGGTGTCTCTGTTTCGAATCTGAACCGGCACGGCTTGCATTCTGTCATGGCGAAGCTCATACGTCCCATCCGGCCCTGGCATCAGCACTGGAAGCAGTGTATCGTAAGCTTCCTGGTTCCGTTGCGGTATGATCGCCACACTGCCCAGAAAGCATAAGAGCAAGTCCTCCTTGGTGATCTGCTTTCTGTTGAGGAGAATGAAGCGGTTGAAGCAGACGAGCCCTTTTACTTCCAGCGGTTTCCCACACAGCTTGGTCACAAAGTCCCGGAGCTTGACAGGGTGAGTAAACTTATTGGCTTCGACGACGTGCTTGCAACAGGCATGTACTGCCAGAAGCAGCACAATCCGCCCAACTATTTCCCCTCGAGGCCCCTCCACAACGTACGCTTGCTTGAAAACCCGCTGCGCCACCTCCAGCACCGCATTCAACTGATCTTTGTTGTCCAGTATGCGCGCGGCTGCCTCCCCCAATATAGGCTCGAACGCGTCCGCGGTGAAGACGCAGTCACGGTCGCCACTTACGTGGCTCACCGTCCGCATGTTGCCCGCCACCATGTCCTTGGCTAGTTCGGACCAGGCTACCACCTCGAGGCCAGCCGCCACCCCGAGAACGGCAATGCCCATTGCGTTTGTCAGTGATTCCTCACCGCCCGGCTTCAGTCTCTCCATGGGCATCCCCAGAAGCTTCTGCATGGCGAACGTCACAACCTCCATCCCATCTGCGCCATTGTCGAGAGTAGCACGCCACAGGGGCCGCCCCCACCTGAACAACTCCTTCGTCAGCTCTGCCAAGGGGGTGGTCGGATCCTTTGTCTTCAGCTGCAAGGACATTAGCTTCTTTGCCTGCTCGAAGTCCCACCACAAGCTCCCCACCACCCAGATCGGCTCAAAGAACCTGGTCGAAGGAGCTCTTGCCCGGGAGCTGCGATCTTGCATTTGCGGAGGGATGACGAGGCCGAGCTTTCCGGCAGTATCTGCTACCAGTCCGAACACCTTTAAGTTGCGCGGAATGCACGAAAAAAACCTCCTGCAGGCCAGGAATGAACCGGCCACCTGTCCAAACCATGAAGAGGCCTCGTCCATGCAGACAATGATCTTCTTATCGGGTACGAAAATCTGGTTGGCCGTCGTCCGGATCCAGTGAGTTAGCTTCACACCATCCCAGTCCTGTCCTGGACCGGGCTTGGACTCGCGCACCTCCTCCAGCACCTCCCCACTGAGTTTAAGGTAGCTGGAGGAACGAGCACCAGCAGCACAAAGTCAGCAAGCAAAAAGAGAAGATAGGAGAGAAGATAGTGGCTAAGAACCTTTTAGCCACGGCTTGGCCAAAATGTGGCTCCGACTGCTCCTTCATCCACTCCTCTGGAGATTTCTCTTTGATCTGAGTTAAAATGGCAAGAACCCATGCTGCCACGGCGCGTGGATCGTTGCTCATTTTGCTATCAATCAGCTGCTGCGCCACAGCACTTCGATCCGGGATGCCTGTAGACCCGACCTTGAGAAAGGAGACGTACACTACGTAAAAGCCCTTGGTAGCCAGCTCTCGCATGGTCCTTGACTTTCCCCACCCAGAGCTCTGCAGCACCATCGTCCATGCCGCAAGCTGCCCCATATCGTTGTGCCACTCGTCAAACAAGCCATTGATAACCTCTGCAACGTAGTCCAACACTTTGCAAGGATCCTGGTAAGGGCGATCCCAGGCCACCTGTAGCACCTCCTTGACACTCAGTGGATAGTCAACTTTTGGACGTACTGTGGTTGGAGATGCATACTCAAGCACGGCCGAGAGAGGCCTCGACGAGTCCCCGGTGTTTTGAATCGCTGTGAGCAGCCCTTCCATCCATTCCCGATCGGCTATCAACAATAATCCAGCCAGATCGACTGCAAGGCGTTTAAGAGGATCGTCCCAAGGGACGACGTTGGTGATGAGCCATGCGAAGAGGTTCTCTCGAGATATTGGCAGTGACGGATCAAACGGGGGCATACCCCGGGCCAGTTTCTCAAGAGCGTCGCGCTGGCTTGCAGGAAGTGCTGCGTGAGAGAGGCATGAGACACAAGATAGGCAGACGACGCCGCCAACAATCTCTTCGCCAACAAGATCCAGATCCTCGATCTCAGCGCCAACGCCCTGGCCGGCTCCCTCCCCTCGTTTGAGTTTACATACCACAAACATACACGTCGCGTGAGGGCGCAAGAGTGCCGTCGCCATGCTCCTTGCTCAGCTCCTCCGCCGAGATAGTGTTGGGGTATCGGCGCCGGTCACAAGGTTGATCGAACCGCAAGATTCGCACCGTCAAACTCCCATCGCCGCCGTCCCCATTGCCACCGGAGTCCGCCATCGCCGGCCGAAAGTTCTACCAGGTAGTGCCGTATAAACCCTCGGTTACCCAGTTTAAACTTGGTGTGGGAAAAACAGTTTTAAAAAAAGTTAACCTTTTCTTGGACCCTTGAGATATTCCCACATTAATCTCATTAAACTTTGGAAGATTCTCGCAATAAGATAAAGAATATTCTAGGAATCGGACTCTCTTTCACTTTCATACTCTTTAAGTGGCCACGCCCTAACATGATCTTATTGATCAAGGCTTTCCAATTTGTTCTTCCCTAAAACTCATGCCTGCTTGAGGTTAGAATCCAAAACAAATGTGACATGAGCCTAATTCTCGATTTTGTACAACAAAAGACCCAAATCAGCACTTTCTCACTGGGAAAGAACTAAAAAATAAACGTCTTTCCTTGGCCACAACCTGAATTATCAAGGAAATATGAATACAACTCTTGCACTATAGAGTGAACTAAACAATGGCTCATGGAAACCCTCGGGCAGGTTGAATTTCACTCCAAAAGTCTCATCTAGCCCAATAGTGACTTGGAGGATCTCTCTGCCTGGACATCAAAATGGAAGGTAAGCGGCCGCGCAGTCCAGTGGCACCGCCTCAAGGAATCGGTCGAGATTGTCTTTTCAACGGTCAGAGTTTGAGACCGCAGACCGAAGACCGAAGACCGAAGACCGAAGACCGTGTAAGCCGTTTACACGAAGTAAGAACTTCATACTTTGCCTAGATCGGAGCCCAACACGGAGGAACTGAGAGCTCGGCTTCCACGTCTTTCACGGTTACCCTTGAGAGAGCTATAAATTATAACTACACGTTGCTCAGTCCCAGTACTTGATGATGCCAACTCCGTCCTTCCCAGCGTTCCTACCATCCTCCCAGCCGCAGGTGGCGACTTTACTCTGCTCCAGTGGATGCCACTCGCAGCCCAGGCAAACCCGCTTGAAACAGTGCAGCTTGTGGAGAACTTTGGTGGTCTTCCAGTCCCAGAACCAGCACCGCCCCGATCCATCCCCCGAGATGACATACTTGCCGTCGGGGGAGAAGTTCACCTGGCAGCCCAGCCCGGTTACGTGGCCGTGGAACCTCTTCTTGTTGAGCCGGAAGCGCTCCTTGGTGTCGTAGACGAGGATCTGGTTGTCCATGCTCTGCGCCGCGAAGAACTTGCCGTTTGGATGAACCGCGATGCTGGGCATCGAGTGCATATGCGGCTCGCTGATGTACTTGATCACCACCGGGATCCCAAACTCCCACACGCGGAGGGACCTGTCGTCGCTGGACGTGATGAACCTCCGGTTGTTGTCCACAAACGTGATGGTGTTCACGGCGTCCAGGTGCTGGTCATACTCCTGCGTGATCTTGCCGCTGTCCACGTCCCACTGCACAACCTTCTTGTCCTTCATCGCCACCATCAACACGTTCTGCTTGTCATCGTCCGGGTGCAGCTTGGCGACGTAAGGCGTCTTCCCGGTGGTGAAGGACGAGATCACCTTGCCCGTCTCCGTGTCCCAAAGTTTGATCTTGGTGTCGTAGCTCACGCTCAGGAACTTGAGCCCGTCGTTGCTGAAGGAAACGTGACGAACAGTGGCGCTGTGCCCCTTGTACGTCCTCACGCACTTCCTGTGGTTGTGCACGTCCCAGATCTTCACCTGGTGGTCGCTGCTCCCGGAGAGCAGGAGGTGGCCATACTTTGGAAAGAACTGGATCGTCATCACATTCCCCTTGTGCCCGACCCACGTATGGATGCAGCGCTTGGGGAAGAAGCATCGATCGTTTGCGGCCTTGACATCCGCCGGAGGAACGACCCAAGAGCGCCCCTGGTAGTCGACGTGCTCGTCGCCATGGAACTCGGTGGAGTCCGGCACCTCGGGCTTGATACCGGCCTCTCGGGCCTCCCTGGCGAGCTTCTTCTTGGCGTGCTCCTCGGCATACATCTTTTGCTCGTCGGTCATCTCCACCTGGATCCCCTTGCGCGTACCGGCCCAGGGGCTCGTGATGGATTTGGCCAGCCACTCGTCCGAGGAAGGATCCAGGCCACCCTCGAGCTCCTGGACCCTCTCCAGCCGCCCCTCGGCCTTCCTCTTCTTGAGCTCGTGCTGTGGGATGTTGAAGACTGTGAGCCCGGCATTGTCCTTGATCTTGTCCGGGTCGCCGATCAAATTGGCACCATTTGGAGCCGAGGTATCCGCGGCATAGCCAAACGCCTGGAATGTGTGGTACTGCTCGTCGAAGGTGAAAGGAGAGATGGACGAGTCCTCCACCACGCCCAGCGCGTGGTTCTTCATCCCCCGCGAGAGGCCGTCCTTGTTATAGGGGTGGATCGGCCCCTCCATGGGCGCCCACATCTGCTCGTACCTAGGGTTGAAGGTCACTCGCTTCTGGAGAGGATCCACCACCGCCAGCGCCGACTCCGCCGCCGCGGCGCCACCGTGCGCCACGGGAACGTCCGGCGCGCTGCAGCGCCCCACATTGAAGCTCACCTCCATCGCCTCCATCGCCTCCTCCTCCATCCTCAAGAACCCTAAAATCCCGGTTGTTGTATAAACCCTAAATTTCAGACGGCTTTCCTCACATTCCTGGCCGCGTTCCTTCCCAAGCTTCCCGCCTCCGTGCTGCGATCCACGAGTGAAAAGGCTCTGGTTGTTGTTTTCTGCCACGCATCGAGTGTATCCTTTGCGCCGCCGATCGATCGAGCTGCTTCTCAAGTTTTGCGTGGATATGAGACCAAAGGTACGCTCGCCTCGTTTTCTTTTCTTTCTCCGGAGCTTGATCTTTGGGCTCTTCTTCCATCCTTTTGCAATTATCCTGTGGACAAGGTGATTGCAAAGCTTCTTGAGGAAGATCTTAGAGGAGTGATCTCTTCCAGCATCCAGGTGAAGCTTCTTACTTCCTGTGAACTACGCTTGACGAGTTTTTATCCTTAGATATTGGAAAAGCAAAACAAAAGGAAAAAGCATGTTATTCCAAGGACATTGCATCGGGCAAACTTGTCAGCCATTTCTGCGTTTTCGGATAAGTTTCTTCCTCTTCTTTTCAATATTTTTTGTGATTCACCACCAGAAAAACGGGGAGAGTTACAGGTACTAGGATGCATCTTCTTTGTCTTTCTAGTAGTAACAATTCCGAACGGTCATGGAGAAACTTTTGAAAGCCACGAAACATACATATGCGAAAGAGACAAGGTAATCGCCATATCCAGTTCCAGTGCCAGGTAGTGCTGAGCTTGATCCAGTCTGAGCGGACGAGCTCGAAGTTTGGCCTGGCGTGCTTGATCCAGTCGAAGCGGACGATGGCATTGGAGTAAACGATCCAGCCAACAACGACGCTAGTGTGGATTCTCCAGAAGCTGGTGTTGATAGTGATGATCCGGTTAAAGCTGGCGAAGTTGACGATGATACTACCAGCATCGGCTCGCCAGCTGACGAACTACTAGATCCTACTGAAGCTGCCGTTTCAACACCAGAGCCACTTGCGGAAACTGACGGTCCCGCATTAGATCCAGAACTCTCTGCTGCGATTACCAGCGTCAACAACATTAGAAACCAAACCATACTCCAAGACTTTATACCTGAGTCAAAACTTGGAGCCGCTCCAGGGGCTGCCGCCTGCGGGCTAGTTGCAGCAGTGCTCCCGCTCCCACCTTTATGAAAATATTAAACCACAGATGATCTCAGTATTTAAGGAGGAGAGCGAGTTCTTGTGGCTTTGGCGCTCCATCAGCTGCACCATCAAGCTCTCAAACGCCACCAAATCCTTCTCCATCCCCATCGCCATCGCCATCGCCAGCAAATCCTTACGCGTCTTCCTCTTCTCCTCCCCCGTCGTCGCAATCTCCAGCAACCAGGAGCTTCATCCAGAGGAGGAGGAGCTGCTGCTCGAAACAGGATCCACAAGGGACCGATGCCCGAGTTTAAGCTTTCAGACGGCACGAACAAGTGTACGAGATGAGCCGACTTACAAGACCGGGCTCCAGGAAGTGGAGCTTGATCGACGACTCGTGTTTCTTCTTTGAATAGAAGTACGAGGTGACTAAGGATCACGAGTGCTAGCACACATTGGCACTCAGCCAGTTTTTTGTCCAATTTGGTTTGCTAGGAGCATATATTGAAGAGTTTTACCTCCATAAAGGTTTGAATAGACAATAGATTAGTTTTGGTTTTAAGCCAGATGCTCGTAGATCGAGTTCCACTTGCAAGAGCCATCCGGAAGAACACAGCTGCCAGGGGCCTTGTACGTTCTCTTTGGCGGCGTGGAGAAATCCTCATTCGGGAAGTCCGCATCTAAATTACAGCAAAATCGTTTTCCATAATGCGTCAAACTGTGTCACTAAGAATGAAGAATGATACATAGAACTCTATGGTGATGTGTTATGTACGTCCTCCAACAACGAGCCCATTATCACATTTTTACCTCTGTCACTAGATGGTTTCCAGAAGTAATTGCCATGGCGAACTCGGTTGCTCAGTTGATGGCTCCGAACGGGGAGGGAAGAGGCCTGTTCCTACCCCCTGCCCAAACGCAAGAAGTTTAGATACAACGATTCTAGAGGGTACTTACGATTGATTTGTCAACTTTGAATTCCAGTAACAGCTCCACAGTCCACTCCAAATCGATGGTGAAGCAGACTACTTCCTCTCTGCCAACATTCTCAACACCGAGCTCCTTCCAGTCGTCTTCTTTGAGGAATTCCCCAACTGGGACAGGCTCTTTGCCGATATACTCGAGCATCTTATCCACCGTCGCACCAGGAAAAAACAAACCAACTTTTCTCATTGTTCCAATCCCTCGGAGATCCACAATAACACACCTGGAAAAAAACAAACCAGCTTTCCTCATAATGCCAATCCCTTCAATAACATACCTCTTTATCCCCTGTAAAACGGCCTCCGCCAGCTCGAGCATCGCCTTCTCCTGAACCTTCGTGCTCGAATTTGATATAAACTCGTCAGGAAGTAATTCGAGGGGGAAGCTAGTGACGTCGGTCTTGAGTATCCACTTAAGCGCCTTGTACTTGAGAGCTAACGTAGGAACGGATACAAGCACGCATCCTGTTGCAGCTCTCTCGTACTTAATCTCCAAGTGTTCCTCGATTATTCTCGCACGATCTGTTTCCACGCTTGTGTCCCAAATGCATGCCCCGCCATCCCACTTGTTGTATCTAAGCCCGAGCTCCAAAGTCGAGAGGACGCCGGTAGTCTCAATGCTTCTAATCTGGCATTGCTCGAGCTCTCTTACGGAGGGAGCCATGTCTGGATCATAATCTATGTCGCGCCTGCTATAGGGGCAGCTCCAGTAAGTACCATCGCAGTGCTTGCGATTCCGATTAGTACACTCCGTCTGGGAGTGTCCAGATTCAAGCAAGGCCCCGAATTCTCTCATCGACCAACCATGGCCACCGCCATTGTACCAACAGTCACCAAAGAGAAGGAGTGAAGTGTTGGCTCTGTTGTACCGCAAAACAAGTTGCGGTGCCGGCCGAGTATCGCATGATGATGATCCATGACCAACTGTTCCAAAGGAAAAAGAAAACCTGAAATCATTTCCATCAACTTTCTTACCTGGCCGCGGTGTGGATGATGATCGAAGGCCCATACAGAAGCTCCTCAAGAAAAATCGGCAAGCCACCACTGCTCCACAAGAGAAATCTATCATCACCTCTCTCAACCTTTAAAATACTTACCTGGCTGCCATGAAGATGAGCGATGGCGCCTTAACTGGCCCCTTGCCGCTGGTGAAGTAGAAGAATGTAAGATCATTTCCGTAAAACATCAACCTTTACCTGACCACATAGAACCACAAAACCCTAGCCCTAATTATGGTGGGGTTTTTGTCAAAGCCCTAAATTTCTCACCTCTGAGGAGCCCTAGCGATGGCGATGGAGGAGGAGGAGGAGGATGTGGGGCGCGCGCTGCTCAATCGCTTCCACAATTCTCCGGCGCCCGAGCACAAGCAGCTACTGGCGGTGGTAAGCGCGGTGATGGAGGTGCTGAAAGAGCAGGGCCTGCCGCTGATTCCCACGGCGTATTTCGCCGCGACCATGGCGCCGCTGGAGCAGCAATGCAATGCAGGCGCCGTGGATGGAGCCGATACCACGGCTTTCCTCACATTCCTGGCCACGCTCCTTCCCAAGCTTCCCGCCTCCGTGCTGCGATCCACGAGTGGAAAGGCTCTGGTTGTTTTGGACAAGGTGCTGGGGGACGCAAAACTTCCGGCTGCCACTGCCAAGCCCGCGCTGTCGTGCATCGAGTGCATCCTTTGCGCCGCCGATCGATCGAGCTGGCCGGCTCTGGCTGGATCGTTCCAGTTGCTTCTCAAGTTTTGCGTGGATATGAGACCAAAGGTACGCTCGCTTCGTTTTCTTTTCTTTCTCCGGAGCTTGATCGCAGGCTTCTCTAGGTGCGAAGGCGCGCTTACTTGTGCGCTGCGCAAGTCTTGTCTAGCTTCCATGGCTCGGCGGCTCTCGACAAAGCTAGCGACTTAGTTGCCTCGTCGTTCGAAGAATGCGCGTCACCTTTCCTGGCCAAAGGCAAGAGCAACGAGGACGCTGCCGCTGGTGCTCTGAAGCTCTTACACATGATCGGGGCCATGCGGCTTCTTCTGCCAGCCATGTCGCCCAAGACCATCGCGAGAGTGCTTCCCAGCGTCACACTTCTCATCACTTTGAAGCAGTCACTCGTCACCAGGAACGTACTCAATGTTCTTCTTTCTCTGGGAAGAAGATCCAGGACGGGCGTTTCATCGGCGGCATTGGTGGGCGTTATTCGTGCTGTTCTCTCCCTCGTCACGGCTGATAACAGGGATGTGGACGAGGTCATGACGGCAGTTCATGTGATAGAGCAGGGGCTGTCTAACTTGTACGCCATCGATCCTAAACTCTGCGCCGGCCAGCTTCCGGCGCCATTCGATGCCATCACAGGTATAGTTCCTTTTCTTTCTTTTTTCTCTTGGAGCCGAAAGTTTCCTTTACTGTATTCCAGATCTCTTTGCTTCGGAACAGGAAGAGGTTGTGTTTGGTGCAGCGGAGTGTCTCCGAGGCTTAGCAGATCGCTTCATAGATGGCGCAATGCTGAGACAGCTAGAAACCGATCCAGTTGCTATTGAAAGTATCTGTTCGTCCGTTGAAAGGTCATTGAGCTATGAATATTCCGGCGCCTGGGATAAAGCTTTGCTCGTTGTCTCGGCACTTTTCCAGAAAATGGGTAACTTTCTCTCGCTTTTTAAAGCTGTAGCTCATTCCATTTTATTCCTTCTTTTTCCAGGTGAGGCCTCCTTTCGATTCATGAAAGGAATTGTTAAAGTTCTCGCCGAACTACAAAAACTTAGAGACGAGGACTTGCCTTGTCGAAAGCAGGCAAGTTTTACACGCTAGATTTCACGTTTGATACTCTTTTACAGCTACACAATAGTTTTGGAGCAGCCGTTGTGGCTATGGGACCAGAACGTTTTTTGGAGCTCTTGCCATTGGACATGGATGCCACGCAGCTAGACAAAGCCCGCATCTGGTTGATACCTATCTTGAAGCAACATCTTGTTGGAGCAAGGCTCAAATACTTCGCGACTACCATCGGTCCTTTGGCAGAAAATCTTGCAGTAAAAGCACATGAGGTTGATATATATATGTTTTCTTTTAGAATCGTACTAAACAGCGTTCTTTGCAGCTTTCTGGGGCGCCCGCAAAAAATGCAGAAGCATGCGCACAAGCTCTTTGGGCTCTTCTTCCATCCTTTTGCAATTATCCTGTGGACACCAAAGACAGCTTCCAGGTGATTGCAAAGCTTCTTGGGGAGTCAATGAGAAAGTATCCGGACCTTAGAGGAGTAATCTCTTCCAGCATCCAGGTGAAGCTTCTTACTTCCTGTGCACTACGCTTGACGTCGTTTTTATCCTCAGACATTGATAAAGCAAAACAAATCTATCTGCGACGCTAATGACGGCATGGACGTGGATTTGGATGCAAAGGAAAAAGCATGTTATTCCAAGGACATTGCCTCGGCAAACTTGTCAGCCATTTCTGCGTTTTCGGATAAGTTTCTTCCACTTCTTTTCAATATATTTTGCGAGTCACCACCAGAAAAACGGGGAGAGTTACAGGTACTAGGATGCATTATCTATTTTCTCTTTTTTTTTTTAACAAGTGAATTGCTAGGCTGCTATTGGTGCTTTTGCGTCTATATCAAGCAAAGCTACTGTTCAGAAGTTTTTCCGAACGGTCATGGAGAAGCTTTTGGAAGCCACCAAAGATACAAATGCGAAAGAGAGAAGGTAATTCGTTACATAACTACTGAAATCATCTATGGTCTAAAATTTTGGACAGGTGCATGTTTATGGATCTTGCTTTGTCACTAGTTGGTGGTTTGGATCATAAAGGCTTGAGCGCGCTTTTCGCAGTTGCAAAGCCTGCATTGCAGGTGGGAGTTTTGGGCACGCAAAACCTTTATTTCTTCATTATCTAATTATCTCCCTTTAGGATCCAGACTCTGGTGTTCAGAAAAAAGGATACAAAGTTCTTGCTGGTATTTTGAAGGTAAATTTTGTTTTCAAGTGCTCAGATTTATGTTTCGAACTTACAGGAACATACTGATTTTCTCTCTTCAAAAGAGCAAGAAATATTTGAAGTTATCGTGGAAGCTACATCTGCATGCCAGTCCTCTGCAAAACAATACAGGGTTGCTTGCTTGCAGTTGTTGATTCTACATCTCGTGCAGGTAGATGCATCTTCAATTAGTTTTCGTCGTTGATAATTTTTTTGCCATTTCAGCAGGGGGACGAGAATACGAACGACTACATAGCATTCCTTCTCAAAGAGTCTGTTCTTGCGCTGAAGGAGGTATTTAATCAGCGTCAATCTAAAGCAGCAAATTGGCCTTTTCTCTTACAGAATAACAAGAAAACAAGAGACGGAGCTTATGAGCTTTTAATTGGAATTGGGAATGGCCTGTTGCAAGTTTCTGACGAGAAACTTGTCCAATTTTTTAGAAAGGTATTGACAGCTTGTTTTTAACTCCATATATTTGATGTTTCTGGGCCCAGTTGGTGGGATGTTCCGCAGTAACAGGCTCAGCTGGAGAGCCGCATGTCATAAGTGCGGCTCTCAGTGCAATTTCAAGGATGGTGTACGAGTTCCCAGCGGAGCTGAAAGGCGAGATACACCGATATCTTCCGAGTGCATTTTATTTACTTCGCAACTACAAGAGTCGAGAAGTAATCAAGGTTAGTTTTAATTTTGCTTTTGTTGAAAAGAACAACTGGTGGTTTCTATTTTGCAGTCCGTTCTTGGCCTTTTAAAAGTAATCGTTGCTATGATGTCTAAAGAGGAGCTTATGCCCCGTTTGAGTGAAATGGTGGAGGCTATGATGGTTTGGTCTGAAGATCCGAAGAACAGATTTAAAGCAAAGGTCGTTCTTTTATTGGTGCACGCTCTTTATGCTTACCGAATGGAACAGGTCCGCGGGATACTGGAGAAGTTGTTAAAAAAATGTGGATTTGAGGCCGTTTCTGCTGTTATGCCCAAAGAGCATGCCAAGCACCTCGTCAACATTCGAAAGGTACTTGATTCAGTTTCTTGTCTAGCTAAATCGGATGAATCTGCAGAGGAAGGACCACGAAGAGAAGAAAAAGAGATCAATTATTGATGGCGAGGATGACAAGAGATCGCACTTCACTCGTGCAACCACAACGTAAGTAGAATGATGGTATATCATTTTCACTTGTCACACTCGTTTTTAGCAGGCGCAGTAAGTGGAAGCACACGGACATCTTCTCTGACTCGGACGAGGACAACGATGGCGACGACGAGAGCGAAGGTGCGACGGCTTTCACAAGGTCCAAGGCTACTACTGCCAGGTAAGCTTCACCTCTCATATTCCCTCATTTGCAAGCGTTACTACTGGTAAAGCAGGTCAAAGAAGCTGCCAAAGCAAAAGAGGAGGCTCCCGGAAGACGAGCGAGGAAGGGACGAGCCTCTGGATCTTCTTGACGTTTCAAAGACGAGGGCGGCACTGTCAACTCTAGGAAAGCCAAAGAAGAGCCAGGCAGAGAGCGACGAAGACATGGATTTTGATCCAGATGGCCGTTTAATAGTGGAAGAAAGGCAGCCGCAGCAGCAGCAGCAGCAAGGACGCGCCTCCAAGCGGCCGAGAGACGAGGAAGAGGAAGGAGAAGAAGAAGAGTTTGGCAGGAGCAAAAAAGGTGCTAAGAAACGGGGCAAAGTGGCCGCCGAGAACCAAAAGAAGAGGAGCACTGGCTGGTCGTACAAGGGCGACGAGTACGTGAACAAGAAAGGCGCTGGAGGGGACGTGAAGAGGGACGGGAAGCTAGAGCCGTACGCGTACTGGCCCCTGGACGCTAAATTGCTTAACCGGCGCGGGGAGAAGAAGGCCGCGGCTCGCAAGGGAATGGAGAGCGTTTTCAAGGTGACCAAGAAGCTCGAGGGCCTGAGCGTGAACAAGGCACTGGGGGGAATCCAGAAGAAGCGGAAGAAGCAGCACAACAAAGCTCACAAGAGTGGAGCTAACAGCAAGTCCGCAAGGAGCAAACGATGAAAAGGATATGCCGAGAGTCTCCCTGTACAGCTCAGTAATTTTGCTAGTAATTTGTTATTTTTAACTACTAAGCTTAAGTAGAGGAATGAAGAAAGCTAAACGATCTCCAAACAAAACTAAAATGTGAAACCATGCAAAGATGACAATCTTTTTTTGTTACTAAGGTTTAACAAAAATTTAAAAGAGAGGAAAACTCTTAAACATTGCTGGAATGATAAATGTAGCTCATAACCATGTGCTGTTATGCAGTAAGACATGTCTACTGTTTTCATTATCATGTGATTAATCAGTTATAGATGGGGAGCATGACAAATAATCTCACTGTGATCTATCATATGCACTTGTCACTCTTTTTGCAGTTCACAAACATCTTCTACGAGGATAAAAGAGAGAGCAGAGCTTCCAAATTAAAGCAAGGTGGCATCGTTTTCTCGACGCGCAGAGCTGTACAGTTAGCTTCTTTTTTTGCTTTTCCCGCAAGAGAATCGAATGGATATGAAGAAACAAAGGGAACCATACCTTTGCCAAGTAGAAAAAAAAAAAAAATCCAATATTCACTTCCAATATGCACGCTTGGAAAGTGTGGTGTATGCCCGCCCCGCAAGCTCAATGGTTGATGTTACACTGCTGCAGGTATGGGTGATCGTAGCTCACGTACCTCGTCCAGTACGACTTGTATCTCGAAAGCCCAATGTCCAGCCATGGCTTGAGATTGCCGTTGTAATGCACCACCGCGGCTGCATCCATGTCCGCTTTGTCGATGCTTGGATTGTAGCCCAATCCCAGGACGTGCCACGACTTGTCCAATGGATGCGTCAAGTTGTAGAAGGTGATGAGGCCAGGGGGTAGCGTTCCGAGCTTCCACAGCAGCCTGTCCTCGTTCTGGAAAGCAAAAGCAAAACCTCTTGTCAAACACGAGGCAAAAGATAGATATCGATCCTAAAGCCATTACCATGTTCTGCCACTTGTGGTAGATCCCCGTTATGTCGCGCCGCTTCCACTCTTTGAGATCGAAGACGTTCATCCCGTACGCCCAGCCACACGCGTCCGGGTTGAAGTTCCTGGCGATGTGCGGGTTGGAGAAGTTCAAGTACTTGTCGAAGCGATGGAAGCTGGCGCCGCAGGTCTCGACAGCACCGTTCACTTTGCCTTGCAGGTCTATGCTCCACAGGCCGGTGAGGTCCTTCTGGACAACGATGTCATCGTCCAGGAAGAGTATCTTGTCCAGCTTGGGATAGATTTGCGGCAAGTAGAAGCGCAGGTGGTTGAGCATGGAGAGGTACTTTGGATTCCTGTACTTGAGATTGGATGACCCCGAGGAAACGGACGTTGGATGATCGGGCTTGAAGTAGTAGTCCTTCATGGCAGCGGATTCTAGCTGTCGAAGAACCGGGCAGTAGGATGAGTTGAGCCACTTGAAGTCGTCAATGTTTTGGACTTCAATGGTGGCCTTCCCAGGCGGATTGGCGAGAAACCACATGCGCATGGCGCCGTAGTTGAGCCTGTCCGTGACAACGTGAATGACATGCTTATGCGGTTCCTGAAAAGCGGAAAATCGTTAAGTCGCTATATAGTACTGGAGTCATCGAACCTGTGCATGCCGTACTGTGGAGCTAACTACCACCGATGCCGCAAGAATGTTGTCGGAGAAAAGTGAGTAGTGAAAGAGCGTTGGATCGTCGAGCTTTTCTTGTGATGGGAATTCGCGCTTCTCGGGAGGAAGTGTGTAGTACTCCACGTTTAGGCGAAGCGAAAGGCAATGGAGAGCCTTTGGAATGGTCTTAGCCGCGAGCTGACTGAGAAACGTGCTTTGCTTCTTCAATGTTTGGGCGTACTCCTGGGAAGACTGTAACGTAGCACGCAACTTCCTTACAATCAGTCCGCAGTCATATAGTTCACTGCGAGCTTGCGTCAATGTCTGCCCCATGGTTCTGATCCTCTCGTGTGCACTGCAGCAGTGAAACATGTTAGAGAATTGCTGTGCTGCGAAAGAAGAAAGAAAATTACCTACGAGAGAGATCAGAATCCAGATTAGCGTCTCCCAACGCACGTGTGGTCTCCCTTATCCGCAGTTTCAAATCCCGAAGGAGCCTCAAGTTGTTGCGAGACTGAGCAATGCTTGCATACACTCTGGCCATAATCAGTTGCTCTCGCATCAGCCGAACAAGGTTGTCCGAGTTCTCGTTGTCTTCGCGCCTCCAAATGCTGTACTTCCCCATGATGTTCCTCGACACAGCTTTAGTTCGCTCGATGGCTTCGGCCTCTAGTTGCGCGTTCTCTTTCTCATCGTGCTTGGTGAGCTGCAGCAGTCGCTCCTTTTCCCTGCGTAGTTTGATATGCTGCGTGTGTAGAAAGAACTCAAGTTCGGTGCTCACAATCAACTCCATACCTCTGGCGGCTGCTCCCGGTAATGCACATCTTGTAGAAGCAATCCGCTCTTTCCTGTAACATACAAACCTCTTAAACACCCATTTTCGTTTTCCTGCCAGCTAGCTAATTACCTTGACCCGTTTCCGACGAGTTGAACGAATCGGAAGTAACAGAGGGTGTCCCGTTTGTAATCTCTCCTTCCTGTCCTTCCTGCTCCAAAGAGATGCGTTAGAATTGATGACTTCACCAACAAGAATAAAACAAACCTGAAGACTATCGTTCTCAAACTTAAGCTGCTGGTCATCATGCTCTTGTACTAAAGAAGACGGTGTATCCTTTACAGCTTTGAGCCTCAGTATCCGATCTGGGTCGTCTGAATTGGCCAGAATGACGCTCAGAACCTGCAACCGACAACCCGAGATAAATTGCGTTCACAAAAGGCGCGTTCTCTCGAGAACATTTACCTCCTCGGGAAGAAAGCTCTCCATTTGATGATCTTGTCCCGTCAGCTTGCGAGCACTCTCAGCACCATGGCTTTGCTGGAAAATCAAACACAAAGAGTTAGAATTAAATCAATCATAGGTAGAGGTATAACCATAACTTACATCGAAAAAATCCTTGGCGTCTAGAACACTCTGTAGTCATTAGCCATTTGCGAGAGAAGGAAAAGAAGAGACTTACTCAAAGCTGAGCCAAAGCTGCTGAAACGCACTGCCAGGAAGACGAGTGGAGCTGTGACGAGGAGCGCAAACAATGTAGCTAGAATGTGGGTGCCGCCGTGCTTGCCCGTGCCTCCCTTGCCGCGCTGCTGGAGGAGGGACGCCGATGAGCTTCTTCTACTGGGAGGCATGATGCCGGACGCCCGAAATCCCTATCCTGAGCTACTCTGCCTATCCACAGTGATATTTCGCGGCGCCGGAGCTCGATGCTTGCATAATACGCGATCCAGATGCTTCAAATCCTCGCCGCCTCTCCCAATGGAGCTAGATCGATCGCCTTGAAGATCATCCACCGCATTGCCTTGCCCAAATCTGGATGGGATTCGCGGCGCACCCCTGCATTGTATCCAAAATCTGGAGCGACGCGCCTGCGATTCATGGCGCCAGCGCCCCAGCGGAAGGGATAGCGCGATCCCTAATGCGATGGAGGGGGAGAGGAGAGGAGAGAGGAGAAAGAGGACAAAGAGGCTCCTCACCACACTGTCCCGTTTCTCCCAAAAACCATGCACCACATTGAGCTCCTTGTCAAGCGTCCGGCAATCCACGCCGTCCAGACGGGGCCCGCGTGCGTGGCACGCACTCGTGCGTCGGATGGAGAGCAGGTACTGGTCGTTGGATCCAGAGGGCGCAGAGACAATCGCAACCGCTCAACGCAGACATGCCGACAGCTCTTTGCTCCAGCTCTGTTATCCATCGGTTCTCCAATACAATACACCAAGGGTTCCTTCCGCGAACCAATGGTCCGAGGAGCCCAGGAGGGGCCACACGAATATTCTTTACTTTTCCCATTGCCTAGATTTTCTAAAGGTCCTGTTAAGCTCCTTGCCATTTCTAGAAACCCTAAAAGGCCGCTAGCGAATCAATGTATTCTACTTTGTTAACGGGTTAGATTTTAACTTTTCAAAAGAGAAAAAACTATTCTGGGATCTAGAATATTCTTAGCATCTAGGCGGGGAAGAAGTGAGAATGTGCATGTTTGAGAGCAAGATGTATGCAGCTCCACCTAAAGGCTTGAGATCGATAACGTTTCTAACAATTTCGCTAGCGGCATTTGCTCCTCTCAACTTGACGACATCGCTACTCGACTCAAAGCCTCCCAAAACACACACCCAATCTACAATGTCTGGAACAAAGGGCATGCTTGACATGAGATCGCATGCCTGGGCAAGATATCCAGCGCGAACAAGCACGTCCAGGATGCAAGAGTAGTGCCGCTTGTTGGGCTTGATCCCAAAGTCCGCTTGCATCGAAACGAAGCAAGCCCGGCCATTGTAGACCTTTCCGGCATGGCTGCAAGACACAAGAGCCGAGACGAAGCAAACCTTGTCCGGAGGGGTGCTGCTCAAATGCATCCATCCTGTAAACAGATTTAGTGCTGTCCAGTTTGACACCAGCTGCTCGTCTTGGAACTTGGTTTTCTTGTAAGTTACTAAGGTGGCGAGCAGTGATCCCCACGACACAACACTCCACTCCGGCATCCTGTCGAAGAACGTCTTGGCTTTCCCCATATGCCCTTCTTGGGCATATGCGAAAAGAAGAGTGTTCCAAGACACGAGATTGGCTTCGGGCATCTGAGCCAGCAAGGCTTTCGTCTGTTCCAGGTAGCGATTGTGGGCATACGCTGATAGCATTGCGTTCCAAGAGGCAGTGTTGTGCTGTGGCATTCTCGCGTCGAACAAGCTTTTGGCTTCCTCGAAGCGGCCGTTTTGAACGTAGGCATCCAGCATTGTGGTGTTGGAAACGAGGCTCCTGCATGGCATGTCGTCGTACGTCTTCTTCACCTCGTCCAAGCTCCCGGACATCAAGAATGCCGAGAGCATCGAGTTCCAGGCGACGACGTCGCGCTCCTGGAGCTCTGAGAAGATCCTCCGGGCTTCTTCGAGCTGCCCGTTTCGGGCATACGCAGAGAGCATGGCATTGCAAGCGATGAGCGTGTAGTGTGGCATTGCGTGATCAAACATGTCCTTGGCCCGCGAGAGGAGCTCCCACGATTCCTTGCGGTTGCTGCACTCTAAGGCCATGTCTCCGAGAAGGGAGATGACGAGCGTGAATGAGACTTGGTCGTGGATTGGGATTGAGTGGAACAATTCTAAAGCCTTGGCTGTGTGTCCATTGTGAGTGTAAACTGCAAGCATTGTGTTCCAAGACACAAGGTTTCTCTCCGGCATCGAGTGGAAGAACAAACGCTCCGCTTCGAGCACGTAGCCGTGGAGTGAATACGCCGAAAGCATCGCGTTGTAGGAGATGAGGTTGTGCTGCGGGCTCTTGTCAAACGCACGCTTGCAGTCTTCAATGCTAGGCCCATTGTGGGCATTCACTGCAAGCATTGTCGTCCAGGACACAAGATCGTGCTGTGGCATAAGCAGAAAGATTGCGTTGCATTTCTTGACTTGGCCTTTAACTGAACACGCAGCAAGCATTGCGTTCCATGACACGAGATCTCTCTCGGGAATCCCAGCAAAAATAGTTTCACAAGCAGAAATATCTCCTCTCTGGGCATTTGCAGTAAGAATGGCAGTCCATGACACGAGATTCACTTGCGGCATCTGATCGAAAACTTCTTTTGCTCTGTCAGCGTCTAATACGTGTGCGTACGCGGTTACCATGGCAGTCCAGGATATCAAATTCTTCTCGGGCATAAGACGAAAGGTCTCTTCGGCTTGTTCCAAATCCCCGCTTCTGGCAAATGCTGTAAGCATGACATTCCAAGTCGGCATATCAAACAGCGGCATCAAATCAAACAAAATATTAGCCTCCCTGATCTCGCCCTTTCGCGCATGAGCCAGGATCATCAAATTCCATGAAAAAATGTCCCTTTTTTTATCGCCCAAGGCATCGAAAACTTGCCGCGCCATGCCCACATTGCCGCACTTGCCGTGGCGCTCAATCGCCCTGTTGGCATAGTACACGTCAGCAATAGGGCACACGTCAGCGGCCAACATTATCGACACGTGGCAACCAGTGAAGCTCACATCATCCTATCTATCTAGAAGCACACAAAGCGCGGCCATAGCTGGGAAGAACACGCACCAGGTAAGAACACCACGAAGAACTCTTTCTTGGGCGATCTCCAAAACTTCCATTGTGTGATCTAGCTAGCACTCCGAGTGATCGATCGATCGCTGCCGGCTATGGCGACAATGTCTGCGAGCTTTGTAGCAGCGTCCACGATTCCAATCTCGCGAAGCAGCGGAAGCAGCAAACAAATCCACAGGATGAGCTCGTTTGGAGGCCTCAAAGCCATCAACAGCGTCATGGGATTGGGCTGCTCGCAGTGCGTTGACCAACAATTCGCGCAGCTCCAAGCCCGAGCGCTCAAATCTTCCTCCAGGCGTGGTGGTGCACTGGCCGCCAAGGCCAGCGTCTCGGAGGAGGTCTTTCGCGTTGTTCCCATCATGACCGTGCTTGTTCTCGTGGGAGTCGCCGTTGGTTTTGTGTTGCTTCGGGTGGAGCAAGCGGTGGAAGAATCCGAGGATGGCTGAGCGCATGATCGATTGATCGATACTATGTGATTGTGTGGAGGTTTGCCATGATCACGTAGCTTGCTGCCTCCCTTTCATCCATCCTCATCAAACAATCAAAGGCCTCCTTTCCCATCTCCACGTTGTTCCATTTCTTACAGGCAGCCAACACTGTTCTCCAAGTCATGAGGTTTGGATTTACGCCAAGAGGCATGGATTTCACCACCGCCATGGCTTCGTCTAATCGATTTGCTCGTCCAAGCATATCCACCAGGCAATTGTAGTGCTCGATTCCGAGACAAACTCGATGATCTTCACCAAAAAAAGCGAAGTAGTTCTTTCCTCTGTCAACCAGGCCAGCATGGCTACAAGCCATGAGAACTTCGAGAATAAGTGTGTTATCCATCTTGGTTCCTTCGTCTTTCATTTTCTCGAAGAGAGTCAACGCTTTCCCAGCGTCTCCGAGTCGACTGTATCCGGCGATGAGCGACGACCACGCTGCCGTGTCGATCTTCCTCGAGCTCAATGAATCGAAAGCTTGCTGGGCTTTGATCACGTTCCCACACTTTCCATAGAAATTCACCAGGGAGGTGGCCACGCAGTGCTCGTCTTCCATCCCGGCTCTACAAATCTCGCCGTGGAGCTCCACTCCAGCTCCAAAGCTCGTCGACGCAGCGCACGCCTCGAGTGCCGCTATGAAAGTTTGAGCGCTGGGACGTATGATCAATCCATTATTCTTCTTCATCCTTTGGAGCAACTCTAGAGCCTCGAGGTTCTCTCCATTCTCGACACACCCCGCGATCATCACATTCCAGGAGACAATGCTCCGAGAAGCAATCGACTCAAAGATGGATCGAGCTTGGGAAAGAGATCCACACGAAGCATACATCGCCACCAAAGTTGTTGCTACGTAAATATCCGTGTCGCAGCCCCTGGACGACGCTTCCAAGTGGATCTCACGACCCTTTTCCAGAAATTTCAATCTCTCGCCATCGTCTTTGCCCATGCAAGAACACGCCTTGAGCACGGCCACGAAAGTCCGGGCATTTGGAACACAAAGTCGGCCAACTTTCATGAGATCGAAAGTTTGGAGGGCGAGTTCCATCTCTCCGGCCTCCACGAATCCAAGTATGAGGGACGTCCAGGACACAACATCGTGGCATTGCATGGATCCAAAGACACGAGTGGCATCAGCCATGGTTCCACACTTGGAGTAAGCGTCGATGAGCGCGTTTGCGACGAAGATATCATCAAAAAGATGGCCAGTGATCGAGGCTTGATCATGGATCGCCATCGTTCTTCCCAGGGACTTGAGTTTCACGACGCTTCCATTGCTTGGGAGCTCCAATCCATCCTCAAGAGCTGCCAAGATGCCACAAGCCATCAAGGCAGCAACAAAAACTCGACCATCGAGCCCAAGCCCCTCGAGGAGAACTCGAGAGTAGAGCTTCATTGCCATCTCCCCGTCCCCATTCTCGGCAAATGCCAGCATCAGCGCAGTCCACGACACGATGCAGCGAGTTTTCATCCGATCAAAGACTCCCCGAGACTCGATCAAGCTCCCACACTTTGCGTACAAAGCCACCAGCGTGTTGGCGACGAAGAGATCATGATCGCAGCCTTTGCTCTTCGCTTGCGAGTGGATCCATCGTGCCTTTTCGAGGCATTCCGTCTTGACCAGCTTTGACCTATCCAGCAGCATCGAGCAGGCCGTGAGCGCCGCCACAAAGGTCCGAGCGTTTGGCTCCCACTTTCCACGACTCGCTTGCAAGCACGACGAGAAGAGCTCGAGGGCCAAGTCGGGCCTTCCATTCTCTGTGTAGCCAGAGATAAGCAATGTCCAGGAGACCACACCGTGACACGGCAATCGATCGAAGATAAAACGGGCCTCGTCGATGAATCCACACTTGGAGTAGAGATTGAGCAGCAAGATGGCCGAGTGTGAGCTCGGTCGCAAGCCGGCATCCATCACTTGGCTGTAAAGCTGCTTGCCTCTTTCCAGCGATCTACACCTCTTGAGCTCGTCCAGCAACACGTAAATGCTTCTTCCTTTGATCATTCTCCATCGCCCAAAAGCTCCAAACACGAATGTCCCAGGGGAAGCCACTTGACATAGAATATCTTGTCACGTCAGCTTGGCAATGATTCCTTAATCCCTTGCTGAAACAGTTTGGTCACTCTTTGTTGCTAGTGGCAGCCTCATTGACGCAAAACAAGTGCACTCACATCACTCAGTTTTGCATATGCACTTTGAGCTACTTGGGACACTGATGGAAACACATTTGCTATTCAAATAAAAGAATTCATGTTCAAAGAATGAACATAAATGTATTCCAATCCAAGCTACACTCAAGATGCTCACAAAGAACAAAACACTCCATACCCTTCTTCATTTCCAAAGCCTTCCACAGACATCCCTATCAGTAGCTGCAACACTCAGTCCGAACTGCTGCTACGCACTAAGCCCAACTCCCTTCATCTTTGCCTTCCGCATCTAGGAGAACCTTTGTCTCTAGCATTTTCTACTTGAACTCCTTTCCATCCTTCGCCATCTTTATCTGGCACTTTCCCTTATACATCTTCTCAATCTGCTCATCACATACTCTCTTAGTTGCCAAATATTCCTTCACCTGAATAAATGTAAACTGCTACTCCAACTTTTGGATCCATCCAGGTGAGCTTCCTCTCGGGCCTCCTCTTGGTCAAGACAACGCTTCAAACACCCATTTTCCATCAACATACTGGAAATCACATGATCAAAACACCTCATCTTCATGCAAGATGCCCATGCCAGTATCTACATCTCATAAATCCACTTAAAGTGTCAGTCTTCATCCATGCCCCATACAGCCATGTCCTCTTCCTCCTGAATCCTCTGTATCTCCGCTTTTAAAGTTTCTGGATGACCACCTCTTGGGGCAAGATACCCACCTTAGACATGTTTTCCCAACCATGCCAAAAGCATGTATCCACTAACTTTGACCAAGTATTTCCCCTGCAATCACATCCTGTTGCATTCCTGAAGGTACACCTCATAGTCATACATAATACCTTCATGATCAAGCCACAAGCACTCACTCATGAAACAAAATTTCTCAACTTCAAGGGTCTTGTACTTGTCCTTGAGATCGTTCTTGAGAACTTGCCATGCCTTGCTCAGGATCTCAGTGACCTCCATCTTATGCCCCTTACCATATGTGAGAGGAGTCACTCAGTTGGTCACCACCACACCAATCACTTGGGTGCTGCTCCCAAATCTTATCACCCATGAGGGGGTGCCCCAGAACTCCTGAAATATCCTGACCTCAAATTTCACTTGACTGTGGTTGACCTGTTAAGCCAAAACACAAGAGAAAATCCAAGCTTCTTCTATTGCTTATTACATCACACTCCATTGGTCTCACACCTCTATGTCATGTCCTCTTTCTTTCCTTGCTTCTCCTTTTATCCTCTTTCCTTTTATGGTTTTCTTCCTATGTTTTTCCCCTCTTCTTTTAGTCTTTCCTTGCACTCTTAACTCTTTCTTTAACCCAAGCTTATTCTCCCAAACACAAGAACACTCACCTTTTCTACTCTAAACCAAGGTGGAAACACTTACCTTTGCTTCCAAGTCCACAATTTGGGGTTGAAGGATCATCATCCTTTGTTGCAGTCATGGATAAGCTGATGCTACAAGGGAACTTGCCTCTTCTAGTATCCAGATTGCTAATCCCATGTCAAGGAATCTCCTCATGCACTCTTTACCTCAGACTGCTTGCTCTTGCCCTCAGCCTCACATGTCTTCGGTGGCAATGCTGGCTACGGTCACTTAACCAATCTCCTAGTGCACAGAACGTCTCCTCAATAATGAATGCTACACATTGCTCTGAGATCCCCTTACTGGAATCCAGCACAAAAGAGTGGGAGGACGTTGAGTGAACTTGATAAGAGATTCTTTAGCAAGAGTCTTTTCATTATCAGAGGAGATGACCACTGGCTCTTCCATTTAATCATGCTGCAGCTGTTAAATCTTCACCAAGGTGTTGCTCCTCCTTGCCCAATCTCTTGAAGTCACACCCAATATGCATTTAAAGTGCCACCTTTCAACGATTCACCATTGTGAATATTAGGGAAAGCTAACTGTGAGAGAAGAAAGTGCCACTTGTTGCTAATGCCATATGCCAGCATGCGAGTGACTTGTTGCCCTCCCCTCTTACCTCTCTATTTTTCCCACTCTTTTCTCTCCCTTTCTGCCTTTCCACTTTTCTATTTTCATTAGTTTTGTATTTATTTCTATTTATATTTCTGATCCTAAAGGCGGTTTAGATGCTCTAGCAGTATCTAATGATGAAGTCTTGGGTATGCTCCTCTCTTCACCTGGTAACTTTGTAGGGTCCTTCCATCCATGAATTCTTCTTTTCTATACTTCTTTCACTTTTCTTTCTATTTTCATTAGTTTTATATTTATTTATATTTATATTTCTGATCCTAAGGCAGTTTAG